GAGGGGGGTGGGGGAGCTATAAAAAAAGAGGAAAAAAAAGCTGAAAAAGAAAAATGAAAAGAAAAAACTAAAAGGTCAAGGAAACAGTGGGGCAACAAAACGCCCTCCAGAAGAAACCTATTCTCTCTTTTAAGGAGAGAACCGTCGGAAAAGTATTTATAGGAGGTATATTTGAAAATATATAAAAATCAAAGGTTGAAAGATACAATAAAAACAGGTAAGGGAGGAAAAAGATGAAAAGAAAAAAAACTAAAAAAAAGAGCTAAAAAAAGGAATAAATAAATAAATAAAGGGGCAACGTGCCCCCCAAGAAACCTATTCACTTCTTGAAGGAGAGAATAGATAGATATGCATTGTTTCCTACTACATTCGTCGTGATACTTTGTCTCCTTTGTTTCAGAGAAATGCCATCTCGACTTACAATATACTGAATGAGGAAAGTAGGATTGTGGCTGCTGCACTAATACCATATGGAGTTTCTTCATGATGCATAGACTCGATGTAAGACAAACATCCATGCTCCTTCTAGTGTTCAATAGTTTTGATCAACCAAATATTGAGTAGCCAGAAATGTGTTCGCTTCTATTGGATCCGACAAACAGTTTCAATGCCGAACAGAACCTGCTCTAATTTGTGTAGCGATTAAAGGTGGCATCATGGGGACGGTTCATGTGTTTCAATTTTGACATGTCTATTAGAGAGGCTGGGTGAAACCATGTCAATATCATCCAACGCTTTAATTTTCCCCTCCCATTATATATAGTAGCTGGTCAATCCATCTCTACAAGACTTGGTAGAAATATCATAACTCTAGAGAAGATACACGGTTTTGATGATAGCATTATAGTTGTTGTGCAACGCCGTATGTAGTCATTGGTTTCTATTGAGTTTCTTATTGTTGGCAACTATCGGACTAACAAATTGCAACAATGCAGATTTATATATATGTATACATATTTAGGAAATCGATAACTAGAAATAAGGTAGATTTTGTTCAATGGCAATCGAAATTTCGGAATTTTAAGCAACAAATTCTGAGATTCCAATTGCTTTTTAGCTTCATTGTTGCTAAAAGGTGAAAATTTTATCTGCTCTGTCCTCCTAATTGTTATTTTTAATCTAAAATTTAAATCTACTTTTGTCGCCGCTAAAACGTATGGTTATTTGAATCACCTTACTTGAAAGCTCCTTCATTTCTTTTTCACTTTTTTCCTCCTTGCATCTCCCTTGTCCGCTCCTACCCGATCTCGAGCTTCGCCGTTGCCCTCTTGCTGATGTAAACCATACAAGATTTAAAAAAAAAAAAAAAAAAAAGACTCGCATGGTTGACTCTTAAAAATAATGTGAAATCTTAATTGCCTTCTTGATCATTCAATTAAATGATCAAATTACCCCGATTGAAACTTTAAACACATATATACATATATATTATCAATTTTCATATAATCTGAAATTTCTCTCTCCACCCCTCTCTCCTCTCCGTCCAAGTTCTGGCAAGATTGAATGAAGGTTGTGGTCAAGTGCTATTGTCGTATATGGTTTTATCCGAAAATTCATGTGAATGAAGGCTGCTGCACTTCTGGTCCGATGTAGAGCTATCTTCTCTGGAGCTGGCAGATCTAGTTCCGCATTATCAATTCCACGAGATCACCATTGCCATCGCAGCCAACTTGATGAATAATGCCTTTCAATAACCAGAATAAAACCCATACGAAGCCAACTTCTTTGCAAAAGCATTGGCTACACAAAAATTATGAGATATTGAAATTAACTTTTTTCCTTCTTTTTTTTCCCTGTTTTTTTCAGGCATTTAGAAAATGCTTGGCATCTTTTAGATGCAAATACGTAAAAAATGAAATAACACGAAAAAAAAACTTGCTTCTCCAAGTAGTACAACGATTTGGCCTCAATATGATTAAATAAAATCTCTCCAGGATTATAATTGCTTCTCCAACCCTTGTATAGAAACAATATTTAAGCTACGTCAGTTCCTCCAAATCTATGCTCGAAAACGACAACATTACCATGACCTTGAAGCGTGTTGAGACTTCGCCGTTTCCTTCAAGACAACACCCACAATTGCTGCCTGCTCAAGGCATTCATCCTTGTGCAATGCATCCAAGAGCACAACACAAGTCTTGCTATGAATCCTGAACCCTTTCAATCGAGTTTCCTCGAAAAGCGCATACGCGTCTATCGCCCTATTCGTGATGCTCAACCCTTCTATCATGGCATTGTAGCTAGCCGAATCGGGAGTTCCACCACTCGCCTTGAACCTCTCGAAAAGCCTATTCGCCTCCACTATGTTCCCGGCCTTTGCTAGTCCCGATATCATGGTGGTGTAGGTGATTGCATTCGGTTTCAACCCAAGTTTCTGCATCTCTTGCCAGTACACGAAAGCCTTGTTGAATTTCCTAACTCTACAAAATCCATTTATCAGGATGCTATAAGTTACATGGTTTGGAGCACAATTCAAGTCCTTCATCGACTGAAAGCACACGAGGGCCTCGTCGATCTCATCAGCTTTCACGAGGGCGTCGAGCAAGCAATTCCATGTGTATACGTTGGGGGTCAAACCTTTCTGCATCAACTCTTCCATTATTAAGTAGGCTTCATCAACTCTACCCACCTTCCCAAACCCATCAATCAGACTACTGTAGATGACTAAATTCAACTCTATACCCTTTGACTTTGCTTCTTCAAAAAGCATGTAAGCTTCATCAAGCCTATCAATCTTGGCAAGCCCATCAATGACAGAACCGTAGGTAACGACAGTTGGTTGGTGACCCTTTATCTTCATTTCCTCGAGAAGCTGGTACGCTTTGTTCACCTTGCCCGATTTGCAGAATCCATCGATAACAGTGTTGTAAGCGCGGGTATCCAAAACACATCCTTGCTCCTTCATTGCATAAAACAACTCATAGGTCTCATGTGCAAAACCAGCTTTTACAAGGCCATGGATTAGGATCGAAAAGCTCCTCACGTCGGGGTTGAATCCTTGAGCCTTAATTTCCTTAAACAAAGCTTTACCCTTCTCAATTTCACCGGCCTTGAAAACACAATCCATATAGGTATTAAGGAGCATCAAATCAGCCGGACAACCCCGGCGCACCATTTCCTTGTATATTTTGTGACCATCCTCTTTCCTGCCCCACTTGAAAAAGTTCATAATGAGGGATGTATACAAAACAGCAGTTGGAACCCAATCAGTGTCCAACATCTTTTCGTAAAGCCTGTAGGCATCATCCACTCTTCCTTGTTTGCCGAGGCCATCAATAAGAGAACAAAATGTAACCTCATCCGGGGTGCAAACTTTGTGATCCATCCCGTCGAATATCGAACAAGCTGCATCAATCTTCTGAGCTTTACAAAGTCGATCAATCATTATGTTTGTAGTCATAACATTAGGATACAAACCGGCTTCTTTCATGGCATCCCGAACCCACAAAGCATCCTCGAGCTTTCCCTCTCTGCAAAGCATGTCTATTAGAATGTTATAAGTTGGAAGATTGGGCACTGCATCTTTCTTCATCTCCTCGAAAATCCTTAACGCTTCATCTACTCTTCCCTTTCTCCCTAGACCGGTGAGAATGCAATTATATGCAATCACACTCGGAATGCAGCCCTTTCTTTTTTGCCTCTCTAGTAAGCTGTAAGCTTCATCAAATTTTCCGGCTGAACTATAGCCCATGATCATGGTGTTGTATGCATACGCACACGGTACTGTCCTGTTAAGGTCCATCTGTTCAAATAAATCAACAGCTTCATTCAATTTGCCGGCTTTGCAAAGAACTCCTATCATGCTGGTATACGTAACGTCATCGGGCCTTAACCCGTGTGCCTGCATCTCATGAAAAAATTTCCAGGCCATATCCACCTTACCAACCTTACCAAAACAATCTATACAGACATTATAAAGAACAATATCCGCATCAAGCGAGTTGCTCTTCATTTCATCCAACAAGGACAGGGCGGCATCGACCCTTCCTTCTCTAGCAAAGACACGAATTACGGTCGTAAATAGGTGCACACTTACTTCATAGCCTAGCTTCTGCATCTCATGAAAGAGAGTGAGCACGAGATCAGCTTTATGAGCTGCGGATAGAGCGCCAATCAAAGTCGTGTAAGCTGAAAATGCCGGGCGGAATTTGAACCTCCTCATGGTCTGTATTAGATCAAAAGCTTCTCTCAGTTTCTGTGACTTGACACAGCTTAAAACTAACTCAAGACTAGCATAATTTGACGGGCCAATTCCCGCTACACTCATTTCTTCCAAAATCTGCTCCAACCAATTGAAATTTCTACTCCTAGCCATGACCATCAGAAGCGAATTGTATGCTTCCGGACAATGTGCTTCGTCAATTTGTCTCTCGGACCAACGAAAATAGTTCACGGCTAGATTTATGTCCTTAAGTCTCCTCAAGACTCGAATGACGGATTCGGGTTGAGGTTTCCCACAATTCACCAACAGAGAATTCTCAAGAGAAGGTCCCCAGGGACCACTCTCCAATATCTGGCATATCTCATCAACTCCTTGTCTTGTACCTTCAGCTTTCACCGAATTTTCGGGCACATCACCATCCACAAAGGGAACAACTTTCCCTTCAGATTCTGAAAACGATCCATTCGACGAGAATGGTCTAGAAAAATCATAGATTTTACGGACCTTGAAATCAAAACGATGTATAATTCCTGCAGTAGAAATAAAATTATGCAAATGGTAATTAGAATCTTTTTGTAAGTGAAAAAATGGCAATAGACAAGAACATTATCAGTTCAAATTAATTTACCACGATTTCTTAAGAACATCTTCATGCATGCACGTCCAAGCTATACCATCATAAATGAAAGTTTACTTCACAAATGCTTGTCCCCAGAGAACAAAAATAAATAGTTCTGAAAGGCAAAAACAAAACAAGAAAGTAAAAATCCGACTTAGACCTTTAAACAAACACATAGAGGGCTATAAAAGAAGCTTTCTTCAAATATTTAAGCACAAGACTTCTCTAAAACCGAATATCTACAAAGCTAATTTAATAAGCTTTCCATGAGCTCATAAAACTATATAATACGTCGTTTTCAATGGCATTCAATGCTTTATATATATATTTACATGTATGTACGTACGTATGTATGTATGTATATATACTTGTATTATAAGAGTGGAAATTTTGAAACTTTTTAAGCTAACATTCAACATTAATATAGGAAAAAGAAAGTTTGATAACAAAGAACCCAGCTAAAACAATAACTAAGGCTCAAACTCGTTCGATTTCTATGATAAAAGTTTAAATCTTTGCAATTGAAAATCGCAGAAACAATAACAAATGCACCAGAAACAAAATAAAATATCATTACTTTCATCAAAATTTCAAGTTTTTTCCCAAAAGTAAACGGATTATAAATACAAAAATAAATAAATAAATAAATAAATAAACGCATAAATTCCCGTACATTTTATATGATCTTTCACAGAGAGAAGTGGACTTACAAGCAAAACAGTTAAATCTAATGCTTTGTATGATAAGAGAGAAGAAAAGAAAGGTATATAACCAAGGTGAGGAAAATAGAGAGGAAGGAAATGATCTTTCTCTTATTATGTTCGTAGTCCAGTCCTAATTTCCCATAGTGGGAGAGATTAAAATTCAGGTTATTTGAAGGATTTGAAATCCCGCTTCCAATCTTTATCCTCCTCTTTTCTCTCCTACCAAACCAAAATCCTTTCACTAAGCCCTTTACCACTCGCCATCATTCCGCTTTTTCCTCCTACCAAACAAGCTCTAAAATTCAATTTGTAATCACATAATGAGAGAAATTTAAACATGTAGAACCAGGATCGAAAGATTATCAAATTACCTCTCCCGCCCGTTCGGGTGTGAAAATAAAGTCGGAAGGGAAGTTTCTATCAAGAGCAAATTGTGCTATTGGAGAAGGCAACAACTTTTCCCCCCTATCCCTTCTTCAAGGTGGCTGAGTAACAATTGCAGCAACCTAGATAGACATTACAACTATAATCAAAATCGAGACTTCCATTTTGCAGAAGCAGAAATAAACTGAGAAAACGACAATAAGAACCAAGTAGGCGTCCATGTGTGCTGTGCAGTGGAACCGATGACCATTTTTCAAAGTTCAAAGTTGAAATGTCATTGCCAGAAACAATGCCAATAATTGCAGACAGAGAATTTCCACGATGAGAGAGAGAGAGATAACTGACCGGAAAGAAGGAGGAGGTGTTGATGGTGAGGAGAGATGTCTCTCGCTTTTCGGCAACGAGAATCGGCGGCGGCAGCGAGAATCGGGAGCGGCGCCAGTGAGAATCGGAGTCGGCGACTGCGAGAAGCGGCTAGAGAGAGAAGGAGCGAGAGAGAGATCTAGAGCTAGAGAGAATTTCTTGAGGAGTGGAAGGCGACGGAGGAGGAGCGGCGGCTGGAGAAGAAGGCAGAGGAGAGTTTCTGAAGAAGATGGTGAAGAAAGGGAATAAGGGCGTTGGGGATGGATCTGCCGAGTATAGGGATTCTCAATTAAACGTGTGGGTGTGTTTTGAATTTTCAGGGAGGGTAGGTTAAAATATTTTTCTCACAAAAATTTTGTTCTTTTTTTGTTACTAAATAGTTGGTAGTAAATATTTATGTTTTTCGTTACTAAATATTATTTTAGTAGTTGAAAGTATATTTTTTTGCTACCAAATTTTAATTTGGTAGCAGAAAGACATATATTAAAATTTTTAAAAAATATATATTTTGATGATAAATATATTTTAGACTCATTGTTTTAGTAATATTTTAATAAAAAATATAATTTTGAAATTAAAATACATTATTCTATGTTAAAAAGTAATCAAATAGCAAGAACATGTACTTAATTAACAAGATTACATATATATATATACATGAACATGTCTCTTGTTACACCTACACAAAATAACTAAATTATAAAATAATTGTTATACAAAATATATTAGGATCTGTTATGTGGGAAAATCCACGAGACACGTTAGACGATGACCATGCTCCACGTGTCCCAGTGCCTGCCCCGCCACGTTATCCTCGACGCCCAAGAATATTTTTTCCTCTCTTGACAACGCGAGAACCGAATGCACAAGAGGTATACTGACGATCCCATTTGCCCGGTCAGATACTAAGTGCTACGATGGGGTCGGCGGCACAGAGCGCAAGCGCCGAGGGTAAGCCATGAGCAATAGGGCCCACACCCTGAGAAAGGGCCTTAAGGGGACACGTTGGAATCCCAAGGTGGCATCTGGAGTTGGGCGAGGTCAGATGTACAGGGAATGATCACAAACCCCCTAAACCGCCTAGAGCAAATCAATCGGCATTACAGAAGATCTGCAAAGCCGTAATAGGAGGACAAATTGGGTGAGTGAATAGTCCCAAGGACACTGATAGGCTACAGATTGGACAGGCAAGAGGGTAGCCCACTCGAGTGAGTGAGCCAAAGGGGAACCGTCAAAGGAAAAAGCCCACGGTGGGAGAGAAGATGTCTCTGGGCTATAAATAGAAGAAAACCCCTGAGAGGGGGGGTTGGCTCTCCATTTGTTGATGTAATCTGTAAAGAACCAAAGAAGTGAAATATATTACAGTGGATGTAGCTTTTATTCTATAAGGGTGAACCACTATAAAATCTCTGTGTATTTTATTTTGTGCATGAGATATAGTATTCTTATTCAGTAACCTACCTAAAAATACAACCACACTCTCATATTCAACAAAAATACTAGTTCCGAACCGGTAACCAAGCGGGATACTGCGGGGTAACCTGGTACGGCTTTGTTGATGAAATTTGACCGTCAATATTATCATATTGGTTACATATCAAATATAAAAATCTAATGATGATAAGAATCTAATTTTATAATTAATTTTTATTAATTTTTTATCAACTATCTAATTTGTTATAACTGTTGATTTATATATATCTTATATACTTAAAATAAAAATACTTATTGATAGGTAAATATTAGAGTACCTATATTAAAACCACACTCATATATGTATACATATAATATATATATATATTATTATATAAATTATCCGACCATGCTCTATGTACTAGGATCATGCGCTTCTTCCTCTAATTAACAATTATCATGTTCTTCACAAGGCCCTTAAACGTGCTTCACTGATTCATTTAAGAAAAAACTAGTTTTGAGAACGTATTTTGTATTACTGTATCAAAGAAAAAACTAGTTTTGAGAACGTATTTTGTATTACTGTGTTAAGACACTTGAAGAGTTTATTATTTATTAGATAAAGAGAAATTTATTTATAAAATCATTTAAGAATTTTTTTAATTTATTTTTTTAAAAAAAGGGTTTTTAAAACTTTAGTTGAAACAACACTCGTTTTCTTCTTCCAAAGACTTATGAGATGTTTAGTTCACGGATTCAGAACCATGATTCATGATTCTGATTTTTGAAATTTAAATTTTTTTTGGGAGAAAAACATTGTAGAGAACTAAGAATCATAATTCAGAACCATAGACGAACCCTTGAAACAAACATCCCATTAGTAGCGAAAGAGATTTATATAACTGTAAATTAAAAGAAGACGATTTAGTATATAAAAAATAAGTGTAAAGAAAACTTTTGATATAATAAGAATTACAGAAAAATAATTAAGTGAGGGCACATTTGAAGCAAATAATTTTAACTATTGACAAAAAAGATTAAATAGAAACACACGTGAAAGAATTTATTCTCATAGGAGTAAATTGAGGAAAAATTTTTTAAAAAAATTGCTCTCTGTAAACAAACATTTGCAAAAACAAAAAAAAAACCATAAAAACAAAAAGAAATAAAAATGTGAGAAGTAAAAAGAGAAACAAGAGGGGAGGCGAGGGCTGCCACATGACAGCTCAAGAAATTCTCATAAAAGCACCGTAGAAAAAGAGATTTGTCAAATTATTTTAAAAATAAGTTTTTACAATTTTTACACATTACTCTTGATTAAATTCCTTTTTGACTAAATATAATATTTGCCTAAAATGGATATTAACAAAAAGTAATGGGTAAAAATCAGACCCATGGTAAGTTTCAACAATTTTCAATTTTCTCTTCTTCAAATTCAACCGAATACCTAAAAAATTTGGGCATTTTACAACAACACCATAAATTTTAAGCTTGAATTGACGTATTCCAAAAGGCATAAACTATTGCAGATAATATCGCATTTAAAGATATTTAAAAATCATAAAATCTTTAAAAACACAAATATATACATAAAAAAACCCAAAATTCTCATAAAATCTAATGATATTGAATAAAATATATTAAAATATAAGTATAATTTTACTCAATATATAAAATTTAAATAATGTGACTGTAGTTTATTTTATAACAATTTTAATACTTAGCCCAGAATTTCTCAGGACTATTTCAGTGAGTCCTCCTGTGGTGAACAAAAAGATATAGCGATCAAACTAAAGATTTTGATTCCAGTGGGAATAGCTGTGATCATGGTAGCTGGTGGAATCCACTTTCTTGGCTTGACAGGAAACCTTAAGACCTTTCGGCTTAAAGAAATGAGGAAAACAACAACCTTAGTCATCCAGAAGGAATTTTCTTATTTATCTTTTTCCACGAATAAAGTGTCTGATAAAATTCCCAACAATTAGGGGGGGGGGGGGGGGGGGGGCTTTTGACTGATAGAAGTATCCGCTTTTGACTGATAGAGAGCATCTCTCTTTTATTTCATCTGGGCAATCTACGTTACCGAAGGTTAGGCCCAAACCCATTAGCAATTCAGCTATTCGTAGACAATACCAGATCTTCCCAAAAAGAACCTTCCAAAGCATCACCGTCCCTCCGACGAAATCAAAATGGTAAACAAAACCCTCGCCATCGTCGTTCTCCTCCTCTTCCTGGCCGGAGCTCCGACGACGGAATCTCTCTCCTACTTCCAATACCAGACGCCCTTCTCCCTCTCCCACTCGCTCCTCACGCGCGTGGCCAACCTCCGCGCCGCTCGCGGCGACTACGCCGGCGCAAACCGGGCTCGGACCATGGCGGCGAAGCTGGAGCCGGCGACGGGGATGGGGTTCTGGCGGCTCATGTGGTCCGCTGGTTGGGACTATGTCAGGAACTATGCCTGGAGGGACTTGGGCGCCTACTCGGAATTGATCGCCGCCGTTTCCGACGCGAACGAGTTGCTCAGTTGGCTGGGCGAGTTGACTCGGTTTGAGTCAGACTCGGAGCGCGTCGCCTGGGTGGGGCGAAGTTACCACTCTGTCCTCAGAGTCTCTAGGTCGCTGCTGGCTCGGCTCCTCAACGTGTTTCGCCAGTCGGTACGTCGTCGTTTAGTCTGTTTCCTATTTGTTGATTTTATTTTAATTCCTTATTTACCCGCTAAACTTCCCCCTAAAAATTAATTTTTGTATTTGTTCCCCGAGTTTTAAAATCTTTTACATCGAACCCAATGATTAGAAATGAAAAAACACGTGTCTTTGAGAAATTTCAATATTCTAATCTAAACCTAAAACAGGATATCTCAATTTGTCAACTCCTTAAATCTGTAAAAAATAGAGTAAAATTTAGCACATTGGAACAGTTTTTCAAGGTTAGGGATTTATTATTAAAATTAAAACTTTAACGGTAAGTTGTTAAAACATTACAAGTTTAGAAGGTAAATGTGCGAAGTACTGTTTTTTTTTTTTAATCAAACCAATTTATGTGCTTTTATGCATATAAAAAATCAAACAATTTATGTGTATATTGCATGGACGTTTCCAAAAATTTATGAGCTTTATAAAAATAAAATAATGTTGCTAACTTCACAACCATTTTGTCCGTTCAAATTGAAATTTATCATCACGGTACAATACATTTCTGGGAAAAAGTGTATAATTTTCCTTAAAGTTACCAAAACTATGTTGATCTATATTAGGCATTGGAAATTACTTGCAGGGGACGTTGAGGGAAGTGGTGGAGACAGTTCAAAGAGAGGTGGTGGATGGTGGGTTATTGAGAGATTGCCTTGAATTGGGCAGCAATGACTTGAAAGGCTTGATTCAAATACTCAAGGATTTGGGTTTGCAATTTGTTTCAACGCCTGACAAGAGCCACGCTGATTTTTGACATTGGGAAATGGGAAGAAAAGAACTCGTCACAATTAGTATACACATTTTTCTATCATTTTCAATCAGGTGATGTAATCTATATCATGCTTAAGTTGACCTTCATATACTACTTCCAAGATACGTACAGAGACTGACAAGTGTTTGTATGTTTTTGCCTAATTTGCAATTCCTAGGAACAAGAAAATTTGTTTCTTCTAAGTTTTTGTATTTGGAAAAGAAACGGGTAGGCGAGTTAAGAATGTAAGACGTGAGTTTCAGTTGTTTTCTATGTTTAGCACCAATCTGAAGATTGTTGTAGCTGAATAGAGTAAACCCTCTTGCAATTTTTATCTCTTTATGGTTTGTTGGAGTTAACATTAGGTTTTCAACAATTCTTCGTTACTATGGAATGCGTATAAATGCACAGGTATATAATACATATGTCATGTTGGTGTAATTTCTCCAAAAGTTAGGAGGCAAAAACATTGCAATAAGCAAAGAGTTTTAGCTGAAAAAACAAAAGAAAAGGGTATTTAAGAAGAAAGCATGGCCAACAAGGGAGTGAGATAATACTTGACCGATCTGGGGGACCAAGCCAACTAAGAAGCTGCTTGAAATGGAGCTTTGAGGATGACAGAAACCCCAGTTTTTTGTTTTTGCGTCCCCTCATAAACATGTCATGTGGTGAGTGAGAGGCTGAGATTGGAGTACAAATGTGCTTGTGTAGTGTTTTGACGTGTGGCATTCTCCGTCAATTATGTCACTCGTTTGGTACCCAAAAATACTTTATTTTGTCTATTCCTTATGCTAAAATCACATGGTTGATTTAATGCAATGCATACATAATTCCTGATCGATCTTATCTTTGCTTCATTGTCACAGGATCTTATTTATTAGATCAAGGATGGGAATTGAAATGTGGGGACGATCTTTACACTATTCTAACCATGTATCTTTTTCTTCTTAATATTGTTGATTTTTGGATTTTTTTTTCTTCTCCCTCTTGGTAAGTGATTGTTCTTGAGAATGGGCATATAAAGAAATATTTTCGTCTTAGATGAAGCATTAAATGTGCGTGGTTATTATTATAATAGCTTAGAGCAGGATGGTATCCTTAAGACTGCAGAGAGATGCTCTGGGTTTCTGTTTGTTTTGGAGGCACTAGTCTCTAGGTACTCTGTTCCAAATTTGTGAAGTTTACAGTTTTGCAATGTTACGGTTTTAATCTATGGAATATACAGTGGTTGAGATTTCAAGTTGAAAGAACTTTATCGGCGAAGATCTTTTCTTTTCAATATACAGTGGTTGAGATTTGAACTCCACGTTGATAAAAAAAAAAAAAAAAAAAAAAAAAAAAAAAAAGATTTGAACCCCCCCTTTAAAAAAAAAAAAAAAAAAAAAAAAAAAAAAAAAACAAAAACGAGATGTATTCTAACGTAACACTTCCGGAGTCATCCACACTCGCAATACAAAACTGCAAAATATGTCGTACTTTCAATGCAATTCATTTGCCGTATCATTTTAATTCCTCCCATATTCATGGTCAGAGACAGGAGTAATTTAAATATGTTCTAATTTCTTTGTCCTAGTGATCAAATTCAAACTGTCCTTAGATTCTGTAAGGTGTAATATTTGATTGGGATATTTATATTTTTATACCTTTTGTTTTAGATTTATTCAAAATCTATACTTTTAATTTTTGATCTCATCAAATGTATACCTTCAAATTAGATCTATATTTTATCTTGGTCAATAATTGATTTTAACCTTTAAAATGACTAAATTGTCCTTAAGAAAAGGAAAAAAAAACACTAAAACTTTATAATATTATGATAATTAAAAATTAATAACACAAAAGAAACCCATTTGAATGGTATTTTACATATTTTAGAGGTCAAAATTGTGAGTTTAAAGTTCTTTTTAGGTTTTCTTCTTTTTCTATGTTTTTATTTAAGGGTATTTTAGGTATGCTGAAGGTTAAAATTGAGGATTGACGGTAAAAAGGTATAAATTTTGACATTAAATATAATTTAAAGGTATACATTTGATGATATTAAAAACTAAATATATAATTTTTAAATAAACTCAAAACACAAAATATTAAAAGGTAAATATCCCTATTTGATTTGACCGTCAACAAGTTACAGCTTAGCCTAAAAAATTTATTGACTAGCCGGGATCTACTGTTGATTATCGTTGTTGGCTAGAATGCTAAAAAGACAACATAATATGTTATACATCGCATTAAAGTTCCCCACCAAAACCACTTCAAGAACTAACCTTTGATGAACTAATAAAGAACCCAATTCCTAGCTTTTGGAATGAAGACATTTCACCACCTAAATAAGATAATGCTCTTCATGCATAAAACACCTAAGGCATTTTAATGCAATGTATCCATATAGATTAGCGAAAATTGATCTCAGAAGACTAGTATTGACATAAACAAAGAATTGCTCTACTTTGGGGTTGTACTACTTTATCTGGCAAATGACTGATCAAACTATAGAATATACTATATGTCGCAGATAGTTTTAGTTCTATTTCTTACTTTTCTTGAGCATGTACACAAAGATATATCCATTGCCCTTAACAGTCTGAAAAGTGTTCTTATGAAACAACATGAATGGACAAGAAATAATATGCTATAATGATATAATCTCTAATTTAGAAATATGCCTGGTAACCACCGACGCGAGAGTCAATTGCATGTCGGCAAGGACAGCTAATTATGCATGCAAAGGGTGCATAACTGCATTCATAATGCACTTTTTCTTGATAATCATTTTAAGAGAAGATAAAGCTTTCTGGATGCGAAGCTTTAACTGTACATAAAGGGAATCGACCATGCAGACCCATGTTACACGGTATGACTTGTGAGTCGCCAACATTAAATTTAGCCAACTACCCCCTCATTTATTGCATGTAGTTGGCGCTCTCCTCTCTATACAGCAAGTGTCAACTCTTAGACCAAGTAGTTCTTAATCTACTGGTAAATAACTCTTCCCACATTGGGTGCATTTTTATCGTCAATCTTGACCGTGGATTCAAATATCATATTTAATTTTTGTAGTACAAAATGGGGTTTAACCAAACACATTATGTCGCGTACAGAAATGTTAATTAAAATACATTTTTTTTAAAAATTAAATATCATAACGCGATCAATTAAACACCATTTGAGATACTAAAACTCAGATGTGAGTCTAAATCCCTTTTATGCACAGACTCATCATTTCCTATTTCCAAAAATCATACATATATTAATATAGCTTTCTCTTTCAAGACCAGCCTGTTTCTTAGTTAAGCTTTCTGGATTACACTGAAAGGTCTGGAAGATGTATAAAAGTGAACGCGAAAATAAGAGTACTGAACAGTTCCCGGTGCAAGGTCAACAGTGTATTACTTCACTATTACTTGCAATTGACATCATTCAAATGCCAATATATGTGTCTATGTGTATATATATATATATATGTTTTGTTCATTTTACCGATTTGAGTTTTCAGTTTTAGGTTTTACAGTAAAAAGCTCTCAGAAAATGTCACATTTAATTTTTTCTGCTACAGTAAAGCTATCAAAAAATGTCATATCTAACTTTTTCTACTACAGTAAAAAGTTTTCAGAAAATGTTACATCTTGATGATCATAAGTTGTTCTTCTTGGATCAATTACCAGAAAGAATGGAAAACTTCACATTCCACTGACTGATTTAAGAAGCAAAAAAGTAGGTCTGAAAGCACACACTAAACCATTTTCGTGGACTCTTTGCATTGCATCATTGTTGCTGTTTTACCAAGTAAAAGCTTTCGAGCATACCAGATATATTAAGAAAAAGTCAACTTTTGTCTTAATTAAAGATCAGTTGCTAAACTTAAATGGGCACTGAATTTTAATAATTGGTATTATTTATGGTAGGGTCCCATATATTGTTTCAAGTACAGTCAGATTCCAACTTACAAATGTTGAAAATTTGTTCCACTATCAAATTAACTATTAGAATATGAAAACCAAAGGCAGTTCACTTCACCTCCTATTATTATTAGTCTAAACTTGTAAAAGGATTAAAAAAAACTTATATAAGCTATCAATTAAGCAAGTTGTCTTGATTTAAACTCTTAAAATTGCTCTCCATAGTATGAGTGCGTTGAGAAGCATTGATTTGCATGCAAAACCTAGCTGTTGCCCTATATAGTTAATTGGCTTAAGCTTTAATTAGGAAGAACTAGTAAAATAAGACCAATAAACTTGAGCTATTAGAATAGGTAATAACGGAGCAGGATACAATCACACAAGGATCGGTATACACAACTTGAAAATTACTTAATAAAAAGAAGAATATTTGTATACATGATCTTGAATGCACAGGCTATTTATATATATATGTATATATATGTATATATATATATATATATATATAAATATGATAACTCCTTACGCTGAGGAGTAGTTTTTGTTTCTTTTTTTTTTTTTGAAATGAAGAAAAAGTTCGAGAAGGGGCCGATCAAATTAGTATACCTCGTAGATGTTACTAAAGAGGTTTTTTTAGACCTTGATAAGAATGTTTATTGAATGCCTTATAGTCGGATCGTACCTTTGAATGAGGAGCGCATCACCTCAGCCTTACGGAATGTACTAACATGTAAGATGTAGTTCTAAGTACTTTAAATCTAGTATTAAGTGGGCATGCGTAAACCTTCACATTTAAGACTCAAAAAAGAGAGCTACATAACACTCGAAACTCTGACTATAAGCGTATCATGGTAGTTCATTATCGTTAGGCCACCCCACTCAATTGTCATGGTGAGGAGTACTATTTGAACATCCAAACTATAGTCAGCTCTCAATAGATTAACACAAGCAATTGACTTCACATTTTGAAACGTTCAATATTATAAATGAAGAGAATACTATTTTTTGTTAGCATATATATAATTAAGTTATAAAAAAACCGAAAGGCTAAGCATGCATTTTTGTGCAACATTACACTTTAATTCTGATCAAACACATGGAACACCTATATACATTACTTGGAATCAAGAAAAGAAAACCTCATTGAATTTCAGAGCAAAAAGCGGGTGCTGTCAGAGAGCTAGATTGCCGATCTTTGGCCTTAATTTGCAAACAAAAAATTAACAGTAGTAGTATGGCTCACATTATCTCCGCGTGAAATTAATGCTTCTAACCAACTCTCTCAACTGCAAAAGCCAAAGCCATCTGCACATATATCTCTTTATTATATATAGCCATTTGAGCTTCTTGCTTTTATGTAACTCACACAAAAAACACACACAAACCATTCTCCTCACACTTGCATAAATTGGGTCATTCTTCTTTTTGAGCTTTTTGAGCATTTTGGATTCTTTTGATTTGCTTTTTGATCAAATTATTGTAAAGCGTGAAGTGGGGAATTATAATATTATGGGGGAGGGAAAGAGAATGTGGAATGTAATTGTGTGTGTGGTTTTGGGAGTCATGAGCACTATGTTGAGTTTTGGGACAAGGGCAGAGCCACAAGTGCCTTGCTACTTCATATTTGGGGACTCTTTGGTGGACAATGGGAATAATAATGAGCTTCAGTCATTGGCTAGAGCTAATTACTTGCCTTATGGGATTGATTTCCCCGGTGGACCCTCTGGGAGGTTTTCCAATGGCAAAACTACCGTTGATGTTGTTGGTGAGCTACCTTAGCTTCTCTCTCTCTCTCTCTCTCTCTCTCTATATATATATATATATGTATACACACACACACACACACACACACATACATATATAGCTATTTACATCTATCTTTCTCACCAGATTTCTCGTCTTTTCTTTTTGGTTTTATTCTGTGTTTCTTATTTACAAGGAATTAAGCAGCACATGCATGGCTTAATCATGGAGCTATTCTATAGAGTTAGGAATTTATAGAGTACTTATTTAAGGCAACGGTCACTACTCATGTTGTTCCTTAGTCCTAATCATAGTTGTAGGAGCAGACCTTTGGACTTAATTTGCATGACCTTTGGTCAGTGTAAATCATTTACAAATTAGCTGCCAATAGAAATGGGATGATAAAAACTATAACTATTTTAATATATGTGTGTGTACTTAAAAAATAAGTCAATTATCAATTTTTTTTTTCTTTTAGGAGAAAGTCAGTCACTCAGATGTCTACTATTCATGATTTGTTGTGTAGGACACCGAGATTTGTCTTAATGGCAGTGATTGTTTGCAATTTGCAAACTTAACATATCTCAGAAGGGGCCACGCGTATATAATAGAAATATATAACCCCATTAGTCTTAGTCTTCTTCCTAGATCTGATTAAGGAGTGAAGTTTAACTTTAACTAATTATATGTCTTTTGTAGTAAAGCACATTATAAGATATTATTTTAAAAGGCAAAATAATAAGAGATCTATAGTTCTATACAAAAGCAAAATTTTGCCCCTTTTCCCTTGTTCGGGTGTCCTTAAATTAAGTAGTCCTTAATTATACAGTCCCCGGTCATGTATATATATATATATATAT